AGCCCCCTGGCTGGCCCTCTTTGACTCAGGGGTAATGACCTGATTGCCTTTGGCGCTGCAAGACCACGAGATGACAAGGGTTTGTGTTGATTTGAGGTTGTTTGTTGTTGTTGTTTTGCTGTTGTTGATGTTCTTTTCGTTGTTCTGGAGATTTAAATGTCTGGATTTATATGATTCCTTCCCTCTACATGGCTCCCTTCCTTCCCTCCTTCCCTCCCCCCTCCTTTCTCGCTCTCCCTCTCGAGAGAGGGGGGATAGACAGAGAGGGGGGAGAGGGAGAGAGAGAGGGGGGGAGGGGTTAGTGGCCTGGCTGGGCGGAGCGGAGGCAAAGACACATCCGATCACCGCGGTGGATTGACTAAGAATTAAAAATGGCTAAATATACTGGATATTCAGAATTGGAATTTCCGGAATATCAATCGATTCTTAGTGTATTCAAAAGATGCGTACACAAAGATTCGCATAGACCTAAGGTAATTTAATAGCAGAAATTACAAAATTTATGGAGCAGGAACTAGTGAGTCCGTGGAATTGAACCCTCTCCCCCCCCCCCCCCTCTCTCTCTCTCTCTCTCTCTCTCTCTCTCTCTCTCTCTCTCTCTCTCTCTCTCTCTCTCTCCTAGAAGAATGAATACGGATGGAAGAAGTGAGAAGAAGAGTACGAAAGAGGGTAAAAAGGAGGGGGAGAAGAGGTACGAGAACAATATGTAGGAGAGGAAGAAAGATAAGGAATACACGAAGGAAGATTATATAAAGAAAGGCAAATAGGAAGGAAAGAAAGACGAGTAGAAGTAATATGGAATGAAGAGGAACAACTAGACACAGAAAGGGAAGAAAGAATAAAGGAGAAAAAGTAGAAAAGTAAACAGAAGGAGATATAGCAAGGAAAGAAGAAACCTTATGACGAGAGAAACGAGAAGAGGAATAATAGGAAATATGCTGTGAAAGAGAGAGGAGAAAGGGAAAAAGGGAGAGAAGGTTAGAGAATAAGGAGATGAAGACAAACAAGAAGGCTAAGTAGATAATGAGCAGGATGATAAAAAAAAAATGTCATCAATTCTTTCTGACTAAGAAACCAGAGAATATAATTTCCGACCAAAAAGCAGAACCAGTTTATTAAATCTTTCTACCCATGACGTCATCATCACGTGTTCAGCGCGAAACGGCAACAATTTCCGCCAAAAACGACAAAAAGTTTACGATTCTTGCCGTCGAGTCTCGGCTGCGTGTTCCCGCACGGGAGGAAGAGGAAGACGAGATAAATGGAGAGAAGAGGCGAAGGGGCGAGGGGAGAAGAGAGGCGGGAAGGCGAGGGGAGAGGAGAGGAGAGGCAAGGGGGCGAGGGAGAGAGAGGAGAGGAAGGCGAAGGGGCGCGAGGAGAAGGGAGAGGAGAAGGGAGAGGCGAAGGGCGGAGAGGAGAGAGAGGAAGGGCGAGGGGGAGGAGAGGAGAGGCAAGGGCGAGGCGAGAGGACGGAGAGCGAAGGGCGAGGGAGGAGGGAGGAGGAGAGGCGAAGGGGCGACGGGGAGAGGAGGAAGAGGCGAAGGCGAGGGAGAGGAGAGGAGGGCGAAGGGCGAGGGGGAGAGAGGAGAGGCGAAGGGGCGAGGGGAGAGGAGGCAAGGGGCAGAGAGGGAGAGGCGAAGGCGAGGGGGGGAGAGGAGAGGAGAGGCGAAGGGGCGGAGGGGAGGAGAGGAGAGGAAAGGCGAGGGGCAGGGGAGGAGAGGAGAGGAGGCGAAGGCGAGGGAGAGAGAGGAGAGGCAAAGGCGAGGGGAGAGGAGAGGAGGAAGGGGCGAGGGAGGAGAGAGGAGAGGGGCGAGGGAGAGAGGAGAGGAGAGGCGAAGGGGCGAGGGGAGAGGAGAGCGAAGGAGAGGGAGAGGAGAGGAGGAGAGGAGAGGAGCGAAGGACAAGAGAGAGAGACGAAGGAAGGAGAGAGGGAGGCGAAGGGAGAGGGGAGAGGCGAGGGGAGAGGAGAGGAGAGGCGAAGGAACAAGGAGAGAGGAGAGGAGAGGCGAAGGACAAGAGAAGGAGAGGAGAGGCGAAAGGGAACAAGGGAGAGGAGAGGCGGAAGGGACAAGGAGAGAGGAGAGGGAGGCGAAGGGACAAGGAGAGAGAGAGGAGAGGCGAAGGGACAAGGAGAGAGGAGAGGCGAAGGGAGAGAGGAGGCAAAGGAGAGAGGAGAGGAGAGGCGAAGGGACAAGGGGAGAGGAGAGGCGAAGGGACAAGGAGAGAGGAGAGGCGAAGGACAAGGGGAGAGAGGAGAGGCGAAGGGACAAGCAGGGAGAGACTGAAGGAGAGGCGAAGGAGGAGGGAGGAGAGGCGAAGGGCGAGAGAGGAGAGAGAGGCGGAGCAGGACAAGGAGAGAGGCGATTCTGCAAGGAACAAGTGGCCCTCAAGCCAAAGAGAGAGAAAGCCGCCTACCTTCTGGTCGCTGGTCAGTTGCTCATACTCCCAAATCGCTTCCTTGGTGATCAGGCGATTCAGTCTGCAAAAGAGTGATTAGCCT